CAAGATCTGCAAAGACTTGGACAAAGACGACGGTTTCCCTCGAGTTTACTCTTACTGCCAATGGAATGAATACAACGTTTTGGTGACCGAAGTGTTGGGTCCGTCGCTGTCGGAGATGTTTGACACTCATAACAGTCAATTCAATCCGAAGACAGAACTTTATATCGTCTTTCAATTGATTCATCGGATTCAGAAACTACATGAACTCGGGTTTATAATCCGTGACATAAATCCCGATACTCTGGTGTTGGGCCCAAAACAGACTAAGAAGGAGAGTATCATTCACTTGACTGACTTCTCATTAGTCAAACGCTATACTTCGGACCCAAACAACCCTCTAAAGCATATACCGATGACAAGCGGGCGATCGCTCAACAGTTGGCCGCGTTATGCGAGTATTAACGCACATTTGGGACTAGAGGTGTCCCGACGCGATGACATGGAGTCCATCGGCTATTTGATTGTCTATTTCGCAAAACACGGCAAACTTCTGTGGACTGATCAGGGATTTACGGGAGATGTTAAGCAACAGATCGGCGAATATAAAAGATGTACACCTATTGAGAGACTGTGTAGTGATATTCCCAACGTTTTCGCCAAATATCTACGAATTGTCCGGAATTTGGAGTTCGACGAAACCCCAGAATACATGAAACTAAAGCTTATGTTTTACCAACACTTTCTCGACGCTGAGCTCGAAGACGATGGTCTGTACATCTGGTCCACAAATGCGCCCAAATAGACCATTAGGTGTTCATATCATTTCAATATTAATTATATTATTTTCAGGATTTTATTGCATTTCAATTGATTTCAGTTATTTTAAAGATAGTATTAAATTGTTTCCTTTTATTCACAAATAAATTTTATGTAATTTATATAAATAAATACCGGTTTTAAAATAAATTAAATACTTTGTGTGTTAATTGGTTTTCATTGCATTCACATTACAATAGCATTGCTATTGTATTCACCGATCATTTCATTTGTTTTATAATAATATTCGTAACATTTGTGGGATTTATCGTAAAAATAATGAATCATTAAATGTTTGCAAACAAATATTTCAATCATATTTGGATCCAATTCTTTGATATCCTTTATGTCTCGGAGTCGGCAATGAATTCGAAACCAATTTCTCTGAGCTATCCTTTTAAACAACTCTTTGATCGTTTGCTCAACACTTTTGTCAGTAATACAAGTAATTAACTCATTAAGAAGACGCCAACCGTTGATATCATTAAAGTTTTTCCTATCGTCCAAGAAATGAATAAGTATTTTAAATTCTTCATCGATGGGCAGAACATGTCTGGCGACCAAATCTAATGCCAGATCACTTCCGGGCCAATACTTGAGCACATTATTCAAACAATTGATCATTTGTTCCGATGACACAAAGTCTGGATATTTGACACCAAAGTTATATAAATAGAGATAAGCGTTGAGATTATGGTAATTATTGTCAATATAAACGGTCAACAGTTCGACGGCTTCGGAGAACTGTTGACTCCATTCATACATTTCAATCAATACAACGACAAACATATCTAAAGCCATGTCTTTGTTTTCGGTGATAATGTTCTTGAGGTTGAGTTTTGTCTTTTCGGCCAACAATCGATTGGAACCGAAATAAAGAGGCCTGAAGAGAAGCTGGCTAAGGAAGGTAAGGTACATTAGCTACTTACTCTACATTCTCGCCTCTTTACGCAGGTGAAAACCAACAAAAGCGTTACTTCAGTAGAAGTCTTTCCGGAGTAACCTGACGATGTAACTCTTGGCGCCGATTCTGTCGCCGTTGCGGATATAGTTCTCAATCATTTCCAACATTATCTCCCGTTTGTTGACATCCAGTTTCGACATCTTCTTCATCGATCGGACCAATAGATCCGTGTCTTTCGTGTCCGCAGTAAACACAATGAACGCCGACTTCACGAGCAAAGAGTGCGGGACTCGCGGATCAACCGCCAGATCGGACACGAGTTTGGCCGCAATGCGGAGCCGATGTCGGGCCACAGCGTCGCGGATGGCGTCCAACAGATCCTGTCTGTCGTAATACTGGAGTTGCGGTTCACGACTACTGGCCATCACTTTGCGGATCCGCTTCTTATCGGTCTTCTCGTGCTGCTATTCCGGCAGCTACTCTCGGTTGAGAACATGCGATAACAAACGCAGCGACACAAACGACAGTTGCGAAGGTTGCGAAGGGTGTGAAGACCTCGCTGAGTAGGCTGCCTGTTACGCCAGTAGGATGGGTCCCTCGTCTTCACTGCTCTCCTTCTCTGCACTCATTTTCATCCAAATTAAAGACAATTCAATGCAAAACACATTCAAAGCATTGCTTTTGAAGTTTCAATCTTTTCAAATGTAAACTTCATTTTTGCCCATAAATAACGTCTCTTATAATTGTGTCATAAAATTAGTTTTATTTAATTAATTTTCATTTAACTTTACTTTTAATTAAATGAATATAAAGTTTTTAATGATTTATTTGATAAAAGTATTAATTTACAGTATTTTATAATTTTTATTGCCGTTAAACCGATAAAAATCAAAGCAATCTTTATCTATACGTTATATATGTGTAAAACATGTGAATAAATAAATTGTAAACAAAATATGAAATCAACAGTGAATTCAATTGTGAAATGCATTTCAAAAGTGCTTTACTTTAATTGCAATTAAAGTTTGAAACAATGTTTTCATTGAAAAGATGGCATCAAATAAAGCAAAACGTTTGCAACAAATACACGATTTGACGGCATTTAGCACTGAATGCCACCAATCGGTCGACACTTCGACGATAAGGCCGTCGATGAGAGCCAACTCTTGTACGCTATTGTTTGCGTCGCTGTGTTTGCTGTCAACGCTTCCAACGCTTCCCACACTTCTGGAGCGACTCATCCGACGGACAATGCGGTCATCAATGGGTCCCTCGTCTTCACTGCTCTCCTTCTCTGCACTCATTTTCATCCAAATTAAAGACAATTCAATACAAAACACATTCAAAGCATTGCTTTTGAAGTGAAATGTTTTCAAATGTAAACTTCATTTTTGTCCATAAATAACGTCTCTTATAATTGTGTCATAAAATTAGTTTTATTTAATTAATTTTCATTTAATTTTACTTTTAATTAAATGGATATAAAGTTTTTGATGATTTATTTAATAAAAGTATTAATTTATATTATTTTATAATTTTTATTTCCGTTAAACCGATAAAAATCAAAGCAATCTTTATCTATACGTTATATATGTGTAAAACATGTGAATAAATAAATTGTAAACAAAATATGAAATCAAAAGTGAATTCAATTGTGAAATGCATTTCAAAAGTGCTTTAATTTAATTGCAATTAAAGTTTGAAACAATGTTTTCATTGAAAAGATGGCATCAAATAAAGCAAAACGTTTGCAACAAATACACGATTTGACGGCATTTAGCACTGAATGCCACCAATCGGTCGACACTTTGTTAACTGATCTCAATTGGCAACAAAACCATGTCTTAAATGTAATGAAAAAGTTTGTTAATTGTATTCATAGTTAATGTCTTGAAAATTATCATCAATTTTGTTGTCGCTTTTGATCCCAAAGTGTGAACCAATGGTTTCGTGTCCTTTCGATGCCAATCATCGGATGTCTCGTCAATCATATGATAAACACATAGAAATGTGTGAATTAAAGGCAAACGGATTCACAACTGAACAGATTATTTTATGATTTTAACGTTTTATTTATGATTTTTAATCAACACTTTGTTTTGCTTTTGTTTTACCATTTGATTGAATGTGTTTTTTTGGTGTTGTATTTGTCTATATCTTAGGCAACACTTCCTCCCAGTTCTCGCTTTTATTACAGCCATTGTCCGGATGTGAGACCCGTTGTGGTGATCGATAAGCAAACTGAAGACACTATATTAGGTAAATATTGGGTTTACTATACAATCAATGGCTTTAATAATACAGTGTTTTGAGTCAATTGATAGTCGTTTCATATCTACCTGTAGTGTATGTTATGTAATGAAAAGCCTATAAAACCATTGATCCTAACATACAGTGTATTGTATAGTATTATAAAACTTACGTAATATTGTGTGCCATAGAGTATACACTGTATTATACTGTATGTGAAAACAATTTCCTGTTTGATTAATAAGTCTTTTTGGCCATAAATTCATTTGATTTAAATGAATGGACTTTTGATAGACTCATAAAACGCTATTATTATATTTGGATTTTATTATACCATTTGTTGACATAAAACTCCTGATATATAATATAAATGCCATTTTTATGGACCATTTCATTGCATTTGATTTTATTTTTACAGCAATTCAACAGATTCTCGATATACTAAACAAAAATAAGTGTTGGATTCAAATGATTGTATCCTTAAATTATAAATAATATAAAATATGAATTTGAAATAAACAGTAATTTTGAGCTCAAGTTTTTCCGATGAAAGCACTTTAGATATCAATTGTTTGCACATTTCTTTTGTACGCAAAACAAGTGTTTTTCGTGCAAAGAGTTTCCAAAAAAGGTTTTTATCGATTAATTTTTGATGACATTTGGGTCTACCCTTTAGGCGAACCAATAGGTGATGACTTTGGTAGCCATCGATCGCGTATTGAGTTATCATCTGAACAACGATTAGCTCTTTATTCGCACGTAATTCACAAGACTAGAGACGACGAGTCGATGAATGCCTGCAAACAACACACCGACGAACAGTCGCTAATCTCTCTGAGCATTGATTTGTTCAGTGATGTGACGACAAAATTAGACAAAATTACAGACAAACAGAGCGAAGGAGGAGAGCAGTCGTCTTCTGTGAACAGACTTGAAATGATTGCTATGAACAGGGATTTGAAGAGAAGACGTCAATCATATCGGTCTAAAAACGTTCACATGAGAGGCAAGTCTTACACTGAGATACTGAGCAAAGTTATCGAAAACCATTGCCAAACACTCGCGGCTGACGTCACCGACTATTCAAATGCTAATTCAAACGCAAACAGTAGTGAATCGTCGTCTCATCGACACGAGAAACAAAGGACTCGTCAAACAAATGAAACCAAACATAATAACTATAAAAGCGAACATAAATACAGTAAATACAGACATAAATCCCACGAAACATATAGACATCGCAAACACTAAACTGTTGTCGCAATTAATTAATAACAGCGGGAAAAAAATTGTTGATAAATTGTAGAAAAATAAAAGCTTAATGTTTTTGTCACAAAATCTCTTTTTGTTAATATTTTCATATTTATATACAAAACAAAAACATTAATAACAAAATTTTCCAAATGTATTGTACAATGAGATTAAAAAATTAAATTATACTTTTATAACAAATACTATATATATTTAATATATCTGTTTATGAAATATTGGTAATCCGTTTTGACTGTATATATATTCTGTATAATAATATATATAATAAATTATACAATGACTAGAAATGGATTCTCTTCTTTACTTATTCTTTAGTGTATTCTTTACATCCAATTCTTGCGATTAGAATATCAATAGTTATTATTATTACTATTATTATTGAAATTTTATGTCACAAAAATCATTGGGAGAGAAGTCGTAAGGACTGACTGATAGAGAGAGAGACGGCGTGTTTCCCAAAGAAGACGGAAAAATGCAAACAAATATTATTTACATTCAAATGAAGTGATGATTCATTAGCAGATAATTTACTCGACTTTTTATTTAGTCTCTAATGTTTAGGCAATAAAAAGCTGATGTATTGGTTGTTGTGACACATCATTACCGCTATTGGGTTTTCTAACGTTAATCTCGAGCCTGAATTGAGCCCAAAATGGCTTTTTCTGATAGAGTTATAACTTTTAGTTTTTTCGATCAGAATTAGAATTAATGTAAACATCAAAAGCATTTACTGTTGGCTTCAGTCCTAAAAACCATATCAATTGCTTTGCTCTCAACTCATTTCCACACCATCTCTAAACTAAACGAGAAAGAGTACTGTAAGAGCTCTATCACAGCCACCGGTGCTCTGTATTTAGTAATTGACTGCCAAACAAATTATATATCAAATGTGTGCACAATATCTTCTCAACATTTACAGAATATTCTGTGCTCTCATTTTATGGTTCAATATAATAAGTGTATAACCATTTATACCGCAAGACTTCTCTCAATTTATTATTAATATAAACCATTGTTTTTCTAACAGATTATTCAATTTTGGTTGTGTTTGAAGAATCGGTAAAATTGTCTGAAATATAAATAACAATAATATTTTGCGTAATAAATACATCATATGTCACAATATATTTGCCATACAAAAAGAGCCGACTGTTTAAGTAGTTATAAATTCATTGAAAATACTTTTTATATTTGTTTGGATGTGTGTATTGAATGTCAATTCTAGACATACATTAGATTAGATACAAAATAAAGAAATAAGACTTTCGTTCCGTTCGTTCGCGTCATTCCCTTCTCTCCCTCTGTATTGACTTTTTTGTTTAGTTTATCGATAATTGAGTTCATAATAATAGAGTTGACATAATATTACAATTTCAATCATAGGAGTAGTAGTTGTCTCTATTGACACACAAATCATTTGATATTAACGATGAAATGGTATGTGTTTTTCATATCGTATTTCACGACAAATAATAATAGTCGATATCGCGAGTCGATAACGCGATTCGCGACACAAGAACTAGTCTTTCAATGCAAATCATATGTCATGTCATCCGATGTGAGAAATGCGAACAAACTGTAGAACTAATCACTATTTTTGAGAACTACTGCCACTACTACTACTACTACAAGAAGCTGTTTCTCCAGAAGATTCACCGCTACTTCCGTTTGGTTGAGTCGTGTCTAGAGATATATGGATATAGGAGTCGAGTATTGAATGAAATGCAATTATATTTTTTCAATGCTTTAATTATAAATGTTTAAATGAAAAACTACTAAACAAACAAACAACTAATTTAATGACAAAAAACAATTGATTGCTAATTACTGATAACGAGACTTAAAGGCCTAATGGGTGTGCAATTGGGCGCCGGGTATTACACGCCGGCACTACTCTATTGTGACAGCACTCGTAGATTTACATTGAATTTAATCACTGAATTGCACTCAAGATAATAGTGTAATTGAAAATAATATCAAAATAAACTCAAATTAATAATGAATTTAATTTATTATACAAAAAATCTAAACATTTTTTTGGCACAATTTATTTGGTTTTTAAAAATGAGATAAAAGTAAATAAATTATGAATCGAAAGCACAGATTGTTTAATGTAATAAATTAAGACAAAAATCGTTTTATAAATTATAATTAAATGACAGCGAAAATAAAAATGCAATCAAAATGATAAACATATTTGTGTGGGAATTAAGGGATAATGTATTTATGAGTGAAATTAAAACATAACATTGAGATTAAATGGCAATCAAATGAACGGATAATAAGTAATGAATGGATTCAATGAACGATTCAGTGATTGATTGGGTTTTGCGGACATGATATGCAATGACATAATCAACGGTACGTTTAATGTTAAATACCGTTAAAATTGAGTTTCTGTAACTCATTGGGCAAATCAGATGTACTTAATTGGGACGACTTCTCCTCCAGGATGTCAGGCATCGCATTCCTCCGACCCGTTCGCCCCGTATTCAAGAACTCGTCCACCGATAGGCCGGCGGCTGCGGCGGCGGCAGCGCTGCTGTCAGTGGCAGAGCTGTTGTCACCGATTTGGTCACAATTAGAGGCCGATGTAGTGCTTGTCGTTGATGTCGACGGCTCTGATGTTTCCATTGATTGTCACCACCACTGATGGACAGACAGACAGAGACAACACAAAGGCATGACATTAATAATTAATTGAAGACAAAGACAGAGAAAAACCAAAACCAAAAGATAGCGACAAAGAAGTCAAATATTTGACATCCAATTCACTGAATCCAATGGTTTTGTGTCTCAAAAGACCAATTCATGGCTTACTTTAAGTTTTATCCGATATTTGTGTCACTAATGGTTGGGAAACAAAAACAATTAGTTTTGTGTTTTTGGTTTCAATTATTCAATTCAATTGTCATTAAAAACAAAATCAATTCAAATGATAGACAAGTGAAGAGACCATCGATTGGTCGGCAAAGAGTCGGCGATTGATTTGATTGACGATATAATCAGACACTGAAGACACTGATGACAGCGAACGACAACAATGGATGAGACGATGGGTTTAATCACATAATGAATTGATTAGACATTGAGTGAGAAATGCAATGAAACGACAATTAAAACAACAAAAAGTCATAATTGAAATGAAATGAAAAACACAACACAAAAGCGTTACACAAATGTTGTGTTCATTTCAAAGCCAAACACAGACTGACTGTGAATGCGATTCTCTGTCGAGTGGCAGACAGTGTGAGAGTGTGTGTGAAGTGAAGGCAATGCTATGCAAACACACAACGCGTTCACTCAATGCACTCATACACACAACCACTGCATTCACTGCTCACTCACTCACTCTTCCCAATGAATTCTTGAATACAATATTTTATTAGTATTTTTTGTGTTGTATTATTATTTTTGTGTAT